CAGGTGAAATTAACAGGATTTGACTCGTTAATTGTTAGCTATTGCGAGTGAAAATGTCTGTGAGGTTAGTTGAAAAATAATTGGTGTGGAGAGTGAGTTTAGTAGTCGATCGAAGTTATCGGTTGCATAATCTGGCTACCTGTAGATAGGAGTTTCATGAAGGCAGGTATATTTGTGGATAGTTTGTCTTCACTGTTCCACAAAGTGAAGTCTTTGGGTACCAATTAGTCTATGAAACTGAGTATGTGCATTGTCTTTCATGATCCAGCCTATCGGTTGTACATATCTTATGATCTGTTGAAAGCAAGCAGTTTATAACAGTGTAACATTTGTAGTAAATTGGAACAAACCTGTTTCAATGAAAATATTATTTATTGCATGTTTTATTTGTTAAGATGGTTGATCTTTTGGTTGTTGTGTCATTTTGTCTTGGTTGGCAATCTAGACCTCTCTTTTATTGTTATTTTCAACATTGGCATAGATTTTAATCGATTGTTTTAACTAACTGTCTGAAATAACGTCGACTACTTGAATGACGCGTTTTGTTATATCTATAGACTTCTCTCTATGTGGGATATTGTTACATTTATTCAAGTTATTAGTATAGAAAGCAAGTTTTGGGTTAGGATTCATTCTGTATTGATCACAAATGATGGTGAAAAGGTGAAAACAGAGTACAAGCCTTGTTAAGCAACTGATTGTCTATGTGGATTGCATAGAAACTCGAAGTGAAGATTTAATCATGAGTGACTTGATTTCCAGGAAATCTTTTGATATTTTCAGCTAAGATTGTGTTGAATGTGTTATCTGAAGATGATTCTTTGCTTTGTTTCTTCATGATTCCTGTTGTTTCTCAATATTAACATTCCTGACCATCCGATAAAAGTGTATAGTGGGGCGCTGGAAAGTTACTAATTAAGGAAACTGAATTAAACATTGTGTGCGTTGTGTAACAACTGTGACAAGCTAGTTAAGCATTTTTTATTTTGTTTTGGAAAGGTTAAATTTTTTTACAATCGTTCTATATTATGTGTATTCAGTAATTTAAATGAAATTGATATGGTGTGTGTAGATTTTTAATGGGATCATTTATATTCGAGAAATCTCTTTCCCGAACGGTTTTAGTCAATTATAAATAATCGCTTATGTCATTTTTAACAATGAACTTGGAAGTATTCACAGCTTGGTCAAGAACATCTTAAACAACATGAAATCCACAGTGTAGTCGAAATCGATGAAAAAACTGCTATTCGTAGATGCCTTAGGCAATAGAACCAAGTTGGGAAAATCGGAGACTAAAGTGTACAGGAAGTGAACACGCTTTAGTCAGTTCCTCAGTTAATGTAACATCAATTCATCAACCCACAAAATAGCAATAATAATAATCGCTTTATTCCAAACAATTTGTATGACTGTATAGAATTCTCAGCATGTAATTTTTCAACAAATTCACTCCCTAAAACAATACTTTTAGACAAAATGGTTATTGCATCAGAATGATGTTAATAATAACAATATTCAAGGCAATAATGTGAAGTAGCCGGCTGGTTCTGGATGGGCATCCGGTCCATAATGAAGAATCAACAGAAATGCAAGCGTAATTTTGGTGGTGGTGGTGGTGGTTCATTCAGACGGTACAAAAACCTGCAACTCAAGCTAAGCATCTGACGGATAAATATGTGATGTACGTTTTTGCATCGAAAAGTTCATTTTCATATAACGTAACAATTTTTCTCTGCTTTGTTATTGACTCGAGAAACGGAGAGTTGGAAACAGTTTAAAAGCATGCCAGAGTATATGATACATTCAAAGGACATATTTAAATGATTAAAACAAATTGAAAGGAAAGAATTTGATGAAAAATGTTCGGTGGATAAATTTTGTAGCTCATGGTTCAAACAGGCCGCCTTGGTGGCTGTATTTGCGTAAGACTCTAGTCCAATAGCAAAACCACATTGGAGTGTCTCTGGAGAGAAAAGAAGGAAATCACTTAATATCTGTCCGAAAAAAGAACGATTACCCACGCAACTACATCAGAATATGTCTTTGCAATTCATCATCAGCGATCAAGTTAATCTTGGAAAGTAGCAAACAAATCATCCTATTATGAAAAAAATAAAATATTGGAGGTCATGACAAAACTACTGAGGCTGTCTGGAATCAATATATTTCGTAAGTTCAAAGGACAACAACTGTGATCAGCACTACGTTGGAAAAAGTGGTTACCCTTTTCACCTATGAACATCAGTTGGTTATTAAAGCGTCACAGCATCTCGTCCCTCATATCAATGTACGTGGATAGCTATGGACATGAATTTAATTTTCAAAATGTGGAGATCTTTGAGAGAAAAAACATAAAGAATATCGGAGAACTTCTAGAAACTTGGCATTCAGCTCAATCAGCAATCAATAAATGTATATGCATAGAACTAACCTATCAACCAATAGGAAAGAAATGTCAAGGTCAGTGACAACAACCAATGGAAGCTACCAATCACAGACCACTTCTCCAGGGCAAGCCACTGAATCACTCTCAGAGAAACCTTAATAGCTCACTTCATACTGATAATGTTGTCTAGAAAGACAATGAAAGCTTCACGACTGAACAATCTGGCTCAGAGAACTCGAAATCGAAATGCACTAAACAGTTTCGTGCACATTTGTCTAGTAAGCAATAATCCACACCTGTTGTGAAAGGGCTAGTGATACTGATACCTGACCACCGAAACCTCTGTACGTATGGTCAGGCTCGAACCCACGATCAGTTGTTCAACAGTCATTTTGTCAAAGTAATGAACCACAGCTCCACTCAGAGAGCTCAACACAACCAAGATCACCCACCTGAACTACAAATATTCTCCAGCATCTGAAGCATCTAACAATATTTTGAAAGTTAAAGGACACATAATAAAATAGTTCAGTTGAACCAACTGAATCAAAAACACCAGATGTAGACATTGTTGAAAATAGCATAATTCTATGAGACTGTCATATGCCAAGCTATGCATTAGCTCAGCGAAGGAGATTTCAGTTGGCGGTGAACCAAAAGTACTATTTCGGTTGTTGTGGATCAGCGCAACAAAAAGGGAAGGAGGATAAGAGGAGAAAGTATAAAGAATATGAGAAGCGGATATATCTACAACACTAACTGGTTGTGAGACATATATCATCTAACTTCTCCGGAGATTTATTTTAATATCTTGAAACCTCAGCAAGACGTGTACATATAACTCCAAAGAATGTGATGAATAACTTCTTGAATACTATTGTCATATGCTTCGTCTGCCTACTATGAAGCTTCTATACTTTTTTTGCTAACATGACACGATGTTGTACTTCTAAACATATGTAAAATAATCATAAATTGGTTACAAGCTCCACTCACCATCTACGGGAGAAACTTTAAGGAAGTAGCTTCTTTCACCTATCTGGGCAGCACTGTTTCAACTACAGGCGGTGGCACAGATGAGGATGTCAAAGCCAGGATTGGAAAAGCAAGACAGGCGTTCATTAACCTGAAACAAGTGTGGAGATCTGCACTCAGCCAGCATAAAGCGTGAACAACATCAGGATTTTCAACACTAATGTCAAGTCAGTGCATCTATGTGATGGTTGAGAGACTTGGCGTGTTACAAAACGGATTTCCAACAAACTACAGACATTGATCAACAACTGCCTACGCTCGTTACTGACACTGAAGATCAGATCAGATGGCCTGAAAGAATAAGCAACAAGGAACTGTGGCTAGCAACGAATCAACCAACAACCTATCACGCAACAAACATGCAGAAGAAAGTGGAGATGAATTGTATTAGGTATACACTGAGAAGACCATTCGGAGACATCATGCGCCAGTCACTCGAGTGGAACCCAGATGGGAGACGCCGAGTTGGGCGTCCGAGGCGAGGGTGACATGGAGGAGGTCATGTGAGGAAGAAACAAGAGCTTCTGGGCAGTCGTGGAGTCAGGTTTAAAAGATTGCAGAGAAGAGAGTGGAATGGAGACGTGCTACTGAAGTCCTGTGTTCCACTATGAACCCAAGGGACAAATGATGATGATGATGGTTACGAGCCGTCAGATGATATTATAACTGCCAATTGTTCAGTGTCTATCTAGGTTCATCGATCAAGTTTAACATGACTTCAGCTACGTGGTAGTCCACTCTGTTTTGATTGTGGCAGTCAAGGTGATTTTCAATGACTCATGGTCTGCATTACATATCGATTCAGCCAGAAGCTTTTATTGATAAGTTTGCTGAGGTCGTGACTGATTCTTTTTAGATTTGTAACATTGATTTTTATAGTCACTATAGATGAAAGTTCACATCTCCCACCTCCAATGTTGTACTCTACGTCTTACATGAATCTGGGTCTTACACAGTGATGGTTTCACTGCAGATACAGTTTTCGATAAATTTGAATAAATGTTATGACACACTTCATGTAGGGAAAATGTTTCACTTATTAGGCAACTTCTTTATACTGGGTGAAATGAAAATTTGGATCATGACCGGATTTGAACCAGCGACCATCGGATTTCCAATCCGATGCTCTACCAACTGAGTTATGTGAGGTCCAACTGCTGACCAGATTTTTATTTCGCTTCAATCACTTAGGGTTTTGCGTTACAACAATTTGATCGTATTCACACTGGCTGCTCACCAATCAGGACTTCTCATCCCAATCCTTATGTAACTGAATTAGATGGGAAGTGGAGCATCATATTGATTATCACTTGACTATCTGAGATAGCTGTACCTGGTTTGGCAGACTAGTAACAATTTATTCACTCCTTAGTATAATATAAATTAGTCAAAATTTCTTTATTTTATAAGCAGTCTGTAAAATATGATTACTGCCATTATTCATCAGCCCTGGGGATTTTTTTCATTATATATGGGACATCTTTTTTTTTGTTTGCTTTTTTTAAAAGTCAAGTTATTTATCTCCATTATTATTATTATTATTGTTATTATTATATTCCTTTTTCTTTTCCTTCAGCTTTTTCAAGATTATTTCACCAAAGGTAGTTGTCCAATGCTAAAAGAAGTAAGACGTCGTATTATGAACAATTTCTTAGAATCTAAACGTACTCCAGTAGGAATACGTGCAAAAATAAAACGTTTACAAAAAACTGGACAATGGACAGACTACATTACCAGTTGATTGAGGTTTATATTTCTTCTCTTTCCTGTTAAATCTGTCAGTCTTGTTATATACCAGGGTTTTGGTTGTTAATTAATTACCTCATTGGTTGTTGTTTGCCCTGACTGTTTATTTTTTCAACTTGTATATCATCACAGTTGATAGAGTAGTATGCGAAAATGCTGAATCTCTTTTTGTCTTGTACTATTGATGATGGGGCTTCCTTACAAGTGTTTCATGGCCTATATTAGTTCTTTGTTCCATTTCTATCGAATATTTCTCATTTGATGGTTATGCATCAAGTCAAGTATTCTATGCATTCTATTTATACTGGACTGGAGAATACTCATTTTTCAGCTGTCAATTGTTTTGGTATTTTTTTTTAGTATGAACACTCAATGGTGATATTTTATCCTATGGATGATCATGAAAGAGTCATTGTCTGTGTTCTTTCAACACACATACATACACAGATATACAAATGTATTTATTAGTGTATAGCTGTTTACCCTCGCCTCATTAATCCTTACTACAGAAGATTTGTGTTCTGGTCTATTGATGGTTTTTCTCCTTTTAACTGCCTTTTCTGGTTGATCTTTCTTTTTCCATAATCACAAAAGGTGCTACTTTGATCGACAATCAATGCTGAAAACCACCAATTGATTCTAATTACTATGGTTTTAACTTTCTGGTTGTATCACTATTCACTAAAAGTTTTCATGAGGTTCTTTCAATACTTTTTCTATTCTTTTTTTATTTGTTTATTTTTTTAAAAATCGCTCTATTTTCTTTTTGATTTTATTTCTTGACATACGAAATATAAAGTATTCAACACACTATAGTCATTAATGTCAAGGTTGTATTTATGATGCATTCATTGTTTTGTTCCTACTGCTGCTGCCGCCACCACCTCTCCTTCTCGTTGTCCTCCATGATCTCATTAGTAGTGTCAAAGCGCTTTTTTCTAAAAAAGAAAAAAACAATAACCCATTTTACAGTTGAATTAATGCGTTAGTGTTCCTACCATTCCACTGACATCTACATTGTCTACTGTATTTCTGACTGCAACGATCACGTTAGTATCCTTCTTCTAATGTACTCATCTACCTACTACATACTTGTCAGGTAAATGAATACACTTACAACATGAGTAAATATAACATCGTGATCTGTGTGCTTACACGTTAGTTTATTTATTTATTCCGCTTTACATTACTTTTGCTTGAGTCATATTCACGACATTAGGGGTTAATTTGACGCATTTCATTGATGGTTGGCGTGTGTATATGTGTTTGTAAAGAAGATATTATGTGGTTTCATGCTTTTTAAGGGAGTCATTGTTATATGGAATATTTTTTATCTCTGTATTTATGTATCAATTTCTCCGGTCATTAATCTGCATGTGATTTTCTGCTAATTTTTCGTTGTTATTGACTTTTACATGTTCTTCTTGTTATTTGTTTATTTATTTTATAATAAATGTTATCATGTGATTGATATACTAGTCAGTATTATTTAAATGTTTATCATTCTCCTTGACTTTTCTTATCAAAACTTACATTTTTTCCCCCTGTGTTGACCATTAATCAACAACATTTTTATGCATATATAGCATACTACCGGATATCATTGATTAAGCTTAATCAGTAGTAGTAGCAGTAGTACTAATAATAGTGACCTCCGATAGATGTTGCTTTCACTTTTCCCATAGAGTGTCATTTAAACATAGGCATATTTGACGGTAGATTCGTTTCATCTACTGTATCTTCTTTGTACAGTCATTGGTCATTCAACTTCTCTTTTTAATCGTTTATCATCTCAGTGTTTGTGTTGCTCATCGTTTTTTAAAGACAATGAAACATTTTTCCCAATTTCATTTTATTTCTTAAGCCTATTTGAAAAAAGTTGTTGAATTATCTTTCTTTTGAAGCTTTCTTAACTTTCTCACTGTATTCTTTTGTTATCTCTCCCTTTTTTTCTTCTACATCGGATTGTTTCTTTTTCCACATAAAAATTCATTATTAACTGAATGGTTTTAAAGTAGTTTATTTTTTCAGAAGTGATAACCAAAAAGCAACAATGGTGATAAGTTATACTGTTCCATGAAATAAGCTTGTAAGGATGGTATAAATCTGTTTTAGGTATTAGTGCCATTATTGTTCATCTTTGAGGTTTGTGGCGATTTATTCATTAACTTTAGGTTGGTACTCAGCTTGTATGAGTGACAACTATTGAAGAGTCCATACTTGTTCGAAATAGATGTCAAGTACCCCCAGGTTTCGAATACTTCTCCAACTCATGCCAGTCCGTGATGATCAACCGGAAAGGCATTATTATTATTTTTTCGTTACATGCGTGCATATTAACTGTCATTGCAGTTGGAAGAAAAAGGCTCTCGGTGTCCCTCAATTGCACAGGATGTCTTCGTCATCCTGAGGTTACCAATTAGTTAATTAAGGGTCATCTTTGCATATCACTATGACTCAACGAGAAAGGTGTATTCGATAAAGATAAGCCAAAAGCATTTATCGTCATAGTGTAAATTATCAGTCTGTGATGGGGGTTTGAGGGTACATTCGTACTGCTGGGTGGCTGGGGTTTGATAGCAGTGAGGTACTTCCCATGGATAGCCAGCAGAATTATGGTGAGGTTACCTTTTCTATGAGAACGAGTGGGGACCTCGAAAACAATACACTCCTTCCCCTCCCCGCCCTGTTGAATTCTGATGCCATAAATTGGAATTCTTTATCAGATATATCATACAGTGTAACAGAAGTGTTTACTGGATTACACCTCAGACATAATTTATTGCCTATAGTCATATCAAGATGAGTAACTACACAACTATGAGATATCCTCTATATAGTCTTCATTTCCTCGCCACCCCCCCCTTTGTGATAAGGGTAGCAAGATTTCCCATATATCCGGAACAGGTGCTGAATCATTCCTGTTCTTGCATGTATTAGGTGTTGATTTGATAAACAAAGATTCAGTCATCAATCTCTCCCTCCACCTTGTTATGTTAGTTCTAAGGATTTTCACCCTGTCCTATCCCATTGTGTAGTTGTGTGAAATTGCGTGCATAGCTGTGACACAGCGTTTTCTAAATTCCTTTATCTTAATAAGACTACCAATTTTAACCTAGCTAGGTTTTTGTACTTGGAAAGCCTAACTGAACCTGATCGACTACTTTGACCTATGTATGTGACCTCGCAATCACTGCAAGCGATTTGGTAAACTAAGTTATTCTACTTAGTTGGATCAATAGGATCTTTTCACCTATGAAGCTTATTTCTAAGTGAGTTTGTAGATTTAAATGCCACACTAATTCCAGCCAGCCTTATTGAGAATCATGCGTAATATCTCATCGTCATCTAATCTATGCTTTAAGTCATACGAGTAAGAGACCCATAGTAAATTTTAGAAACACTTCAACTTATGTCTTATTAAAATATTTAGCGATGGTACTAGGTTCAATTAGAAACCATCCGAAATTGAGACATACTAATTCTTATGAATTAAAGCATAGGTTATATGACATACATTTAGATGATGATGAAAAAATGGTAAGTTTTGATGCAGTTAGTTTGTACACTAATATACCGATTGTCATGGCTCTGGAAGCAGTTAGAAACCAGCTCAATAATGACCATGAGGTTACACTACGAACTAAGGAACCAGTAGATGATATCATGCTAGGAATGCAGCTATGCCTAACATCCCCAATATTTAGGTTTCAGAATAAAATGTGCAAACAAACAGAAGTTGCCATGAGATCACCAATATCCCCTATTGTGGCTGACATATTTACTGATAGTTGGGAATGGTTGGCTGTAGGAACATTTAATCACGGCTCCAAAAATATGCTTTTGATATGCAGACGACACGTTTACAGTGTTGAAATCGGAGCACATACGTAATTTCTTGACACACATATAAACTCAGTAGTCAACGGAATCCAGTTCATCTATGAATCGGAAAATAGTGAAGGAGAATTAGTGGTCTTGGATTGCGGAATAAAATGGAAACAAAATGGAAGTTTAGATACTAGTGTCTACAGAAAACCTTCACATTCAAATCGTCTCACCCTATGTCGATTAGTGTTGGCTTAGTAAAGTGTCTAAGTAAGAGGGTCAGAAAACTTACTAGTAAAACTGAATATTTAAGACAAGAAACTCGATATATTAAAGACACCGTACTCATCAACAATTACTCTCCGAAAATGATTGTAAGTTCCTGAGGAATCGTAAGAAGAATATGACCGATATTAATAACACGTGTTAATAGTAATAATAGTGCTAGTATTGATGGTAATAATAATGGCAATACTGTGAAGACAGAATTCAAAACGTCTACAGTATTACCATACAAAGAAGGTACCCCAGAAACATTATGTAGGATTCTCAATAAGGCTGGCTGGAATTAGTGTGGCATTTAAATCTACAAACTCACTTAGAAATAAGCTTCATAGGTGAAAAGATCCTATTGATCCAACTAAGTAGAATAACTTAGTTTACCAAATCGCTTGCAGTGATTGCGAGGTCACATACATAGGTCAAAGTAGTCGATCAGGTTCAGTTAGGCTTTCCAAGTACAAAAACCTAGCTAGGTTAAAATTGGTAGTCTTATTAAGATAAAGGAATTTAGAAAACGCTGTGTCACAGCTATGCACGCAATTTCACACAACTACACAATGGGATAGGACAGGGTGAAAATCCTTAGAACTAACATAACAAGGTGGAGGGAGAGATTGATGACTGAATCTTTGTTTATCAAATCAACACCTAATACATGCAAGAACAGGAATGATTCAGCACCTGTTCCGGATATATGGGAAATCTTGCTACCCTTATCACAAAGGGGGGGGGTGGCGAGGAAATGAAGACTATATAGAGGATATCTCATAGTTGTGTAGTTACTCATCTTGATATGACTATGGACAATTAATTATGTTCACAACGTAATCCAGTCAACAATAATGTTATTTTGTTGAAGACGGGATATGCGCAGCATAACGTTCA